CATTGTTAATTTAAGTGATACAAATCTATAAATAAAAATACGTACCATAAAAATATCCGTGCATAAACTGGAAAGTATTTTACAAGGGGAGGGTACTATACAGAGCGTTTTATGGTACATAGATGCACTCGTGGCACCACATAGTTGTTTTTTTGTTTTTGAGTTTTTGCGTTGCACATTGATCTGGTGCATAATTTAAGGGGAATATCGAATGGTTGGGATCGGAATTACATGATCTGTCCTTTTCACTTTGGTACTTCGTTGGATACATATTAGCGTTAGAATGAAATGCACAATACAATGTTTCTTTCGATATTGTTTCAATGAGGAAAAGTTGGGTAATGTTCTATGGATGATTTCTGACAAAATTAGTACTACAAAATGAATAAAAGGGCATATAGATAAAAAAAAGATAACAATAAGTATTCGAAAAAAAGTTTGCACAAATCAACCCTATTCCTGTTTAATAATTGCACAAGTGCATGTACATGTGCGATCAATAAAATTAAAAAATTAAATATTGATATGCACAGAGCATACATATTCCTTTGAAAAGAAACATTGGATTTTGCATAAATATGCAAACAACACAGTTTTCTCCCTACCTGACTCTTTGATGGTTGATTAAATTAATTTCTTAGCGTTAGTGCTATTTCTTTTTTTGTTATTACATAAGTTTTTACGGCTTTTGTTTATAATAATAAGACTACGTATTAGCAATTAGAAATTATATAAAAATAATGAAGAATCTCTCAGAGAAATATCAAGATAATGGCGACATTGCATCCGAAACAATCGAAAATTTGAACTCACGAAAGAAGGCAAGTTCAATTATTCAACTCAAAATTTATTTTTGTGTCTAATAAATTGAAATTGATTTAGATCACAACACTTGGAACTTTAGTGTTGGCATTTCAAGCTCTTGGTAGTACTAATTATATTATATAAATCATATTCAATTATTGACTCTGTTAATGATAATCTTTTAAATTGTTTGTGTAGGCATTATTTTTGGTGATATTGGCACGTCGCCACTTTACGTGTTCTCGAGTATCTTTAATACTCGTCCAACGGATCCGCGTGATGTTATGGGTAATGTTTTATTACATATTGGCGAATTTGTGTACGTAGTGAATTTACTATGAAAACTCATCTTCATTTTCATTGGCTAATAATGGATATCAATTTCCAAATATAGACATATATATAAGATGGATTTTATAGTAAATTCACTATGCAAATCCGCTGATATGAGTATTCTTTGTTTAATAGATAAATATATTAGCTGAAACTCTTTAAATTTTTATCAGGATGTCTTTCTCTCATTATATGGTCATTGTAAGAACACTTCGTTTTTTTATCTTTAATGTTATTTAAAATGCTTAATTATTTTTTTTTGGTTTTTTTAATCAGGACTATTATTCCATTACTTAAATATGTATTGATTGTGATTAAAGCGGATGATCATGGAGAAGGAGGAACTTTTGCACTTTATTCTTTAATAGCACGGTAAAATTTTGATGATCTCGAGATATTGTCATTAAATTTTTCTCAAAAGCTAAAAATCAATTTTTTATTAAATTTACAAAGATATTCTGGGCTCGTAATTCGTGGAGAATCAAGAAAGGATGATTTGACTATTGTAAACTATGACGCGATCTCTATACAAAGCCATAAGGATACACCGAATTTTATCAATAGAAATAAAAAAATACAAGGAGTTTTACTTCTCTTCGTAATATTTGGAGCCTCATTAGTGTTAGGTGATGGCTTGCTCACACCTGCCATATCGGTCATTTCTGCGGTTGAAGGAATGATAGTTCAAGCACCTAGTTTGGAAAATGCTGTGGTCCCGATATCCTGGTAATTTTATTAACTTAGCTTTTCTTTTAGACGTGAAAAATAAAAAACTAATTAAAATTTCATATATTAAAGTGTTATTATAGTGGTACTTTTTATTGCACAGCAATACGGCACAAATAAAGTAAGCAAGTGTTTTGCACCAATAATCTCATTATGGCTGATATCTTTAGCTTCGATCGGTATCTGGAATATCACTGCAAATCCATCAGTAATGAAAGCATACAACCCCTATTACGCGTTCGATTTCTTTATACGCAAGGATTCTGCTGGTTTTCATGTGCTTGGAGGTGTCTTACTTTGTATAACTGGGGTTGAAGCTCTCTATGCAGATTTAGGACATTTTAGTCGACGTGCCATCGAAATATCATTTTCCTCAATGGTTTATCCGCCTCTGGTGCTTGCGTATATGGGACAAGCGGCGAGAATTATTGATGACCCAGATATTTTCGACAATGTTTTTTGGCTTACTATTCCTCAAACAGCATTCATCTACTGGTTAACTTTTGTTCTTGCAATTCTTGCTACTATTATTGCATCCCAAGCAATGATTTCTGCCACGTACACGTTAATCCATCAGGCTATGCGATTGGATTGTTTTCCGAGAGTAAAGGTAAAGAAAATCTTTAAAATTATCTTTACTAATATGATCATTAAAATTGTTGCTCATTTTTAGATTATTCATACGTCTCGTCATCACCAAGGACAAATTTATATTCCAGAAAGTAGATATTAACTGTTTACTTGATGTATACAAGAATTTCTTGCCACTTCACCATTTAAATCATTTATACTTTCAATTATAATAGTTAATTGGATTTTGATGGTGATAATTTTATTAGTCATTATCGCCTTCAAAAAATCAGCGAATCTAACAAATGCATACGGTGTCGCAGTTGCCTCTGTCATGCTGATAACCACTTTCTTACTTTCAGTAAGTAGTTCACGTCGTTATTCAAGTCATTTCTACCTATAAATTTCAAATAATCCAAATAAACTAATTACATTTACAACTTTTATAATAAGACAGCGATTCACGTAGTGTGGAAATTTCACACAGTTGTGGCTATAATATTTTTCTTAATCTTTGGGTTAATTGATGGCGCATTTTTAGGTTCCACCTTGCAAAAAGTACCAGACGGTGGTTGGTTTACCTTATGTTTCGGTGTAATAATGATGTGTGTAATGGGTACTTGGAAATGGGGTACAAAACTCCGAGTTGAATATGAATTAAAAAATAAGACAAGGCTTGACAATTTGTTTACTGAAGATTTTGATTCTGGAGCCGCATCATTGGAAAATAGTAGTACATCTAATGTACCCGCAAATCAGAAAATCACCGACAGCAACAGCAAAAATGAAGAAATCACATCAACTACAGTTACGATACTACAACCTCGAAGAAATCAACTGCGATTATTAGGAAGCGGATTCCAAGTACATCGATTGCCTGGAATTGGCATGTTTTATCAAGATTCAGGCCTGGGTGTCCCATTGTCATTCAGTCACTTTATCCAGCATCTGCCGGCTGTTCCGGAAACACTGATCTTTATTTCAATACGACCAGTCGCCGTTCCATATGTAGGTGAAGAAGATCGACTAGTAGTGCACAGAGTCGGGCTCTATGCCGGAATTTACAAAGTTATCGCAAGATACGGGTACATGGAACCTATTTCTCAATCACGTGACTTTATCCAAAAACTAGTAGAAGCTATTTGTGTTATTGATCCCGAACAAGAATCGCTAAAACCGGAAGTATATCCCGAAGACCAGGTAGTCACTTATGTTGTTAGTCAGCAGCGAGTTCTTCCGAATTCTGGTAGTTGGTTCAGAAAAGCGGCGTTGAAGTTTTATGTGTTTCTGGCAAATAACTCGAGCAAGCCGCATAGTGATTGGCATATTCCCCCTGAAGATATTATCGATGTTGGTATGAGCATACCTTTGTAAATTTAAACAACTTTTTTTATAAGTTCAACGTTATTATAATGCACAATATAAATTATTATGTGTTTTGTAAAAATGATATTGCGGTTTTAGAGTTCAGTGCATTTCTTCAAAATTAATGTGCCAGAAGCATACATAACGATAATTCATGTAGATAAAATTAGCAATACAAAATGGTGTACCTTGTAAAAGTGTAGGAATATTCCACGGATGTTGTGATGGTAAATCCCGGATGAAATTCTATTGAAAACTTATGAAAAACGTTTCATATGCAAAGATTGGCCTTGAGGCCTTGATTTATTAATAATGCAATAGTGCGTATAGGCTGATTCGACCCTCAAAACAATTTAGATTTGGCCCAGTTTTGATAATTTTTGGCTAGAGTTAAATTTGTCGTGGAGTCAAATCCGCCCTTATGATGACTCGACAGTAATTTCTTCGGAATAATTGCGAAAATAGTTAAGCCATGGATGTTCAAGTGCCTTCCTCGAGCTCTTTCTCCTTCAAATTTAGTCACAAAATCCGACCACATTATAAGAAATTCCTCCAACTACTTTTCCAGCTGGTACATATCAGGCGTTGTCGTGTACTTCTTGCCGTGATCTAGCGTCCCGTCATCCCAACTCTTCAACTACTCAGAAATTTTTCCTCCATACTCAAAGTCGATAAGGACATGACTGGAATTGACAGGATTATCGGATATACTGTATACTGGATAGTTGAATATCGTAGTGAACATAGCCTTCCCTGTGTAGGCGTTCCAGCCCGACAAGCACATTTTTAGTCATCATCTGTAATTCATGCTTGTTCGATGACGAACACCTTTTCCCCGAGTCATCACCAGCCTATACACCTTGCGTCCTTCCACCCAACAGGTAGTGTGAGTTCTTCTTGACCTGGACGAGACCTCAACACCCTCTCGCCATCGCTGACAAAAATTTAACGCAGGCATTTAGATTATCAACATATGGCAGATTTTTGACTAAAACATCTTTCACAACTGACGTGTAGTTGAACGTGACTGTTGAATTCGGCCCTAATTCAAGAGGCTTGCCAAGAGATGTGACATCAGTCGAAAGGAGATAATTTATCAACAACAAAGACGCGCGGAATGTTGATGATCGTAAATAACAGCAATCCGATGCATAAGCTGTCAAATGTCAAATACAGCCGTGAAAGGAACCAAACGACTCGGCTTTGTTACAATCTTCTACCCAGCTACAACATAGTAAATAAGGAACTCCAGATCACCAAAAAACAGAGAGTCAAGCATATAGAACTTTTCGATAAGATTGTCATACATTTCTGAGTTGGACTTCTCTTTGATTATAAGTACATTCTTGTTAAAGGAGAAGTCTGGGCGACAATTATTCGCCGTTGTTGATCCTCTTAGATAATAGCAAAATCAGTGTGCATACATACAAATATAATAAAACAATGACACATAAGAGCTTACGTATCCATCCTGTTCCTATTGATTTCAATCTCTAGAGTTCCCGGTTTAATTCAATAATTAAACAGAGAAAATGTATCATTAATCAGGATGTTTATGATGTGATACATCATGTTCTCTGATTGTACTCCTGTCAACATTGTATCTAAATTTTTTGACCAGCTCACTTCGAAAGTTCTCTTGTTGATATAGATCAACTCTGAAATCCCAATGTACTAAAAAGAAAAACTTTATTACAGTCAACCCTAAGTCATCTTATAAACTTTTTAAAATCACCTTATGTTTAAAGCCAGTTTATTATTGAAATTATAAAAAATCGCTGTTTAAAGTCACTTTTCTAAAGTTACTTTATTTATGGTTCTTTGTTTCAGATGTTTCTTGCTCTGAATGTTGATCTTTTTCAGATAATTCTGCTTGATCTTGATTATCAGATTCGTCTTCTTTATCAATTCAGATAATTAGTTGTATCATTATTTTGTTGTTGTTTAACTGGTTCATCTTCTATTTCTTAATAGTTATTTCTTGTTGATTTTCTAAAATATATTCTAATTCAGAAATTATTTATTCTCTTTATTGGATTTTGAACTTTTTTAATAAATGGATCTGTCTAAATTTACTGTTTTCTTCAAGTTCTGATTGATTGAGAATTAAATATTAATTTTAGCATTAGAATTAGAATTGAAAAAAGGATTAGATACAAAAATGTCTTATCAACGTTTTTTATTAGTGCTTTAAAATCTAGTATATAATCAATCAATTAATATAATTACTTGTATTTAATTAGAACTTGAAAAAAGAAAAATTAGTAAATATATTTGTTTTAATAGTTTGAATTATAAATAAGTTAAATAGATATACTTGACTTGATCATTTATAATGAAATATTTTTTGTATAAAATTGTGTTTAATCAGATAAAACTTTGTTAAAATTCTATATAAGTTATATTAGTTAACTTAAAATCAATTATTTGTTAAAAGATTTATTATATTATGCAAAAATATATTATAGTTTTACAAAATCAAATCCAATTCCAAAAAAATAAAAAACTATATATTATTATTTTTAATTAATAAATAATAAAAGAATAGTTTACAAGAGATTTGATAGTTATTTTATGTTTTTAATCATATTTGTCAAAGTAATAATTAACAAGTTTTCTAATATAAGAATAAGTATTATTTATTTAAAAATAAAAGAATGAAAATATAAAAAAATTTAAAAATTTTGGAAATTATATTTTATAAAAAGAGTATCAAAATATTATATATTTTTATTAATTATAAAATTAGTTAATAAATATAAACAAATAAGAAAATCAAGTAAAATATTAAAATAAATAAAAAATATTTAGATTTTAGAGAATTAATAAATATTATATTATATTAAATTATTATAGAGCTAATTTCTTTTTTTTAAAATGAGATTTTTATTATAATTAATTAATTATTTATTTTTGATTACATAAAAAATGAGATTTTTGAGTTTTTTTTTTCTTCTTTTTCTGATAATTATATAATATTTATTAGCTCTTTTATATTAATTTATATTAAAATTATATAGTTCAAAAAAGAAATAAATATAAAGAAAATATAAAATAAATAATTTTTTAATTTTTTATATTAATATTATCACTATTTGATATTTTGATTACATGTAAAATATTATGTGATATAATTTGATAATTATTTATATTTTTATTTATATTTTTTTTATAATTTTATTTTTTAATTATTTAAATTATTTAATTTATACATAATTTATTAAAATACTAATTAATTCTTTTTAATATTCCATCATTTATTTTATTATAATATTATTGAATCTAAATTCATTTTAGTTTAGATTAATTTTGTTTAATATTAATTAATATAGCACTAATATCACTCTAATTTAAATTGTATCACTTAGATTAAATTAGTATTACACTTATTATTTCTTGATATTATACTTCTTCAAAATTAATCTTATAATTATTTTTAAGTAATATTGTTACAATTTAAATATTCTATAACATAGTTATTTTAATAATAGTTAATTACTTTTATTATATTTAACATTTTTAATAATTAAATTTATTTAATTTAATTATTTATTATTTAATTATTTAAT